CAAATATTTCAAAATGGGTGGAGAAAAAGGGATAAAAAAAAGCGAAAAAAGAAATAGGAGAGGAATGAAATCCAATTCACCAGCTTGCACTTTTGCCTCTCTCTCTGGGACTTGGCCTGGACTTAAGTGAGGCCCCAATATAGACAAGAAGGTCAGCCTGAGGCCTACTCAACAACTGGGGGCTTAAGCTTCACTGTAAGCCGGGTATGGGGTTTATGGACAAGTCTTATCTGGGGCTACGATATCAAACAAGCAGACAGGAAGGGGAGAAAGGGAGATGAGGGTCTAGGGGGGGGGATTCCCCCCCCCCCCTTTGGAAGTAGCTGAAAGGGAATGCGTATCGAATGGGCAGCGAAATGCTGGTGCTCTTGCTGGTTAGGGGGCACGCAGCTACAGCAGATACAGGCAGGGGGTGGGCAATGGACTTCTCTGACCCCTCGCTGGCGTGTCGCATCTTCCGCACCGAAGCCCAGTCACAGGTTTCGTCAGGCAGCTGGTTATTGCTTACCAATTAACTGGGCGACCAGTTGCTTACCAGTAACTGGGAGAGCTCTGCGAAGGACAGACCGGCCAAGAGAAAACAAGCTGCCTCATTCCTAATGCAGTTTGTGTAGCGAAGACACACAGAACATGCATATTAAAATACTATATTACATATAAGTATTGTACTATACTAAAATATGATACTTATCCTCATAAAATACTTAATTTTACATTTAATTGTCATTTTCACAGTATTTCTAGGCAACAGTTCACTCCCTAATTATTTTGTAGTCTCAATTTTGAAAGAAAGAAATCTCAGCTGTTTCTGCTTTACCTGGCTTAAATCCATTCTCTAGCATCTCCGGGAACTTGGACAGATGCCACCGAGCCTGTCTGGGAAGGCAAACCAGGTCTCCCAGAGTGGTCTAATGGCCGTAATCCCTCCCACACGTTCCTCAGAACCCAAGCAGGCTGGCTTTGTGTCGTCCGTGCAGACGCTTTTCAGATCAGCTTGTTGCAGACGTCCACTGTGGATAGTCAGGGATTCAGTTTCGTTATTGGTGAGCCCACTTCTGCGAAATGGCAGCGTCATTGGGTTTCATTTTGGTTGGCCATCAAGTCCGCGCTGGATCTCCAGAAAGCCAAACAGTCCTCAGTTTGAACCGTTTCTCGTTTTAAATTGATTCATCTCGCCTTCAAAAGTCAGCAAATACTTTTTAAAGGTAAAACAACTCAATAAACCAACATTAAAAGAATTAACAACAACACATCTTGAGAGTAATTCAATGGTCCCCAAGTGACTCGTTACAATTTAATCTGCACTGTCAACTGGTGGTAATTTTAATGCTCGTGTCTGCGATTCTACTCCGAAGGTGTTCCTTCATAAACACGTGTGAAATCACTCAGTCAGCTATTATCGGGGGGGTGTTAACTTCATATGTTTGCGATCAAAACAGATTTTCAGGCTAAACGCGAGAGTAATCTTACTTTGTAAAATGCAAATGAATGCATAGCCAAGGCTAAAAAGAAAAGGAGCCGTTTGAGAGGTGCGATACTGGGGGTCACCTGCGGGTTGCCAGTAGCTCAACTGGGGAAGCAGTACTATAGCTTTGCATTGTCCCTTACAGCTTGACTTTCTGCTTAAAGGATTGCGTTTGACCAGACCTCGTGAGTCACATGACGTGTCTTTAGCACATTGTCGTTATTTATTTCTGCTCATTCTTTAGCATTTTTTAGCACAGCCAGGCAGTACTTGGAGCAATTGGGGTTTGGTACAGACCCCACGGTAACCACTCTCTGCCAACCAGGGGGTTTAAACCAGTGAGCTTCCAGTCACAGTCACAGAACCACACGCCACCCACCAGTTGCCCCTCGAACTGAAACTTTAACATTTCTTCTCAGTACTTTTAAATAGCTTATTTTCGGAAACAATGCAGTGTCAGTATTTTCCGAGGATATATATTTTTACTTTCTGTTATACTTTGCCTGCAGTCTCTACTTGCTTTGAGAGTTTCTGCTAGGTGAGCGTGAATTCAGCCAATTTGGCTGCAATCAGCCGTAAGGTCCCCCTTAACGAGTCTCATGTATCTTTTCCTGACAGGTGAGTAATCACTCACCTCTTGCTCTTATAATTTAACATGCCTTGAGACAGTGTGGCACAGACACTCATAGACATTGTTTAGTGTGTGACTTGGTGGTGGAAAAGAACATCAAAAACAGACGAGGACTGCCATTCATTCTTTGTTTTTTCAATTCAGTTTTTTCCTATTCAGCCCAGTGAATTAAAATTACATTTAGTTTTTTGTATTGTTATACATGTGTTTATATTTTTATAAAGGTCAAACATATCTAACTTCACTTTCCTCTGGATTCTGAATGGAGTTGTAAATGAGATCTCATTCTGACATTGCTACCAGCCCTCACATATATTGAAGTGCTGCAGAAGGCCAGCAAAGAAACTGAAATTACTCAGATAAGACATTCATTTTTACACTGGTAAAGCAGTGGCCCCTTCAGTTGTTTGATAGTCTGCACAGTGTTCTGAGAAGCAGCCATGAAGTGGCACCTCTGTAGTACTCGAGACCGGTCTTGGTATCTAGACCGCTTTTATGTGGTCTTGGTCTCGTCTCAGAATCGACGTTATTTTGACTTGGTCTTGTCTCGGACATAGAGGACTCAAGGTTTTATTTCAAGACCAGTCAAAACCACTCATCAATACACCTCAGTATTTATCACAACAGCTTAATATTCATCTGTTTGTTAACCATTAGAACCCGTCAAACGTAAAATGTGTTGATTTTCGCCCTCAATGGTCACAGGCTCGTAACTTTGGATAGGTATAACGCACATGAATTGCATTTTTGCAATTGATTGAATTTACTCGATACGGTAGTCAAAGTTATCAAGTGATATCAAGACGATTATGACATATCTGAGTAGCCCAGAATGTCCTGAAAACAAAACCATAAAGCATATGTGGCTAACTCATGTGCAATGTAATGATCCTAAAAATGGGGTAGAAATTGCTCAAAAATGGATCGGGTTCAAAGGGTACTGTGATTGGGTGTAAAGCAGCCTGCTTCAAAGTTCGAATACAACCAATAAGGTGTGTCTTATATGAAACAATGTTACATTTCTACAGAAGCATTTATGCTGAAATTTTAAGAAAAAAATGTCCGTGGTTCAAATTATACTGTAACTCAAATTGTAGGCCATACTGCCTAGCCCCACGATGATGCCTATATACTCCACATTTTATAGTGTGTAGTGTTATGTAGACTCAAACATTAATCTGTTTCTGTCTTGACTTGGTTTAGCCCTGCCTTGGTCTTGGTCTTTGTACAGTCTTAGTCAAATTTGTACAGCATTATACAGTAACAATAAAAGTAACTATATACACACAACTGTACTGTAACTTGACTAAGGGATAAGGTAGCTGTGAAATAATAAGTAAACACGTGTACCAGGTGGTCTAACCTGCATCGGAGCGGCTGTTAGAATAGCCATGTCTGCTGGGTTCCTTTCTTTGATTTATGTTTGCTTGCCGAGATCGATAACATCATGCTGTATCGTATGAGCATCTGTACGTGAGACGGTGAGACCACGTGATTGGACGTAGGGTCGTGTCAGAGGTGAACTCCACCCTTTGCTAATTATCATTTCAGTTTAGGTTGCATGCGGGTCCTTTTGTCGACGCGGTACAGTTTGGAACTGTGAGCGGCCTACAAGTTTTCGGGGGGGGTTCATTTGTATTGCTGCACTGGGATAATAAACTCCTGGTTAACACGTGCAGCTGATTGCTTTAATCAGCACCCTGCTGAGATCATCTGCGGGTATAAAATCAGAATCTCTTATCCTCCTTTTACATCGGCCGTAAGTTGTCCGTAAGTTGGCCATTCTTCACCCTGGGACCGCTTGTACTGTGTTTGACTGATTTTTGGGGTTTTGCTCTGGCCGGTAACTGCCAGCTCTTGTGGTTATTTGCACAGGGTTCATGTTTTTGGGATGCCTCATGGTTTTGGAATTATTTCCCTCAGGATTTGTGATGTTTATCAAAGTAGAAAATCACGGTCTTACTCCAGTTCTGTCGCTGTCCCAATGTAGGTTGTCCTCAGGGTTAAGCTACTTGTAAAACTGCTTAAAAACACAATTGGTCAATTGTCTTATTAGCAACTGCAGTTAAACCACAAAAGTGAGGCAGAATTATATCTGATGCAAGTATGTTTCAACAAATTCTTTGCATTTCATACTTCTCAATAACAAATTAAAGAATGTTTTGAATTAACTATGCTTTCGCACTATTTTTGCTAACAAAATAAGTATGGTTGTCTATGTAGTTTCATCCTGTCACAGCCTGAAATACAGTAAAAAATGTGTTTTATGTACAACTCGTCTGAAACATATTTGTAATATTCGACAGCTGTGTATTTTACTACTGATATGTTTCAGATAATATAAGTACTTGTAGCATATAGGCAGCCTTACGCTGTATTAAAGTAATGAGATGTTTTTGCAGTTATAAAATTAATTTTGTGCTATGAATATTTTCCCATAAATTATCATAGTGGTGACAGGTTATAGAAATTTAGTACCGTATCGGGTTATGGTCTGCTCCATGGTCCTCCCACTGTAAGAGTTTGGGTTACATGACTGATGATAATCTATCCATCCATTTTCTATATCCGCTTGTTCTATGCAGAGTTGCAGTGGTCCAGCGGCCATCCTGGAAGCTATGGGGGCATGGCTGGGAATAACCCAGGATGGGGGCAGCAGCCCATCTCTTGATGATTGTTATTTTTCACAATCAATCACAAAGACTGACAGATTTAGCCATTTAACCAAATGACATGCAATGCGACCTTTCATACCAGCTGCAGTGTTTAATGCGACTGTGAATTAAGCAGATGCTTTTTTTGTAATCGTTTTATATTGATGGATCTACATGCATAAAAATCTGTACATACAGACCTCCACACGCCAGTGTTTTCCTGCTTGTGGCAAAGTGCTAGAGAGTTCAGGGAACAACACAACCTTCCTTTGGGGACTTAACATCAATGACTCCCGATAGAAGGCACATAAGATAAGCACATGGCCAGTCATAAAAAGCCAGTGATTCTGCCACCATTACCCTACACTGATGGACAGTAGCAGAGGACAATGATAAAAATGATTACTAAATATTTACTAAACGTTTACAGGCTTTGGGAAAGGCAAGAGATTTGACAGAAATAGTTGGTTTAACCAGAGCAATGAAGGTATGACTCTCTCTTATCGAAAAAAATATAAAAAAGAGGTTTGCGGCTATGGATGAGAATACACGGCATCCAGCGTGTACTATGTCACCTTCACGGTGTATTTTCACTTGGGATTTTCCCATGAGCCATTGCATCTGCGTATTTACTAACATAACTAAAATGAATCTTTTCTTATAATATGACTATGATGCGTTAGTTTCTTGGTGTAGTTATTAGCCCAGATATTGAAAGGATTCGTCCTACATTTCTTTTCAAGGCATCATTAGTTGTGTTTGTCACCAGTTACTGGGAACTATAAAACAGAGCAGCGATTTCTGTGGTACAGGCAAAGGTCAGACCTCCTCAGCCGCTGAAATAGTTTTATTGAGGGAACCACAAAAGGTCCTTGTAATTTCAGAAATGTACGAAATTTGAAAATGCCTCTTCGCTAATTAATATTTACGTCGATGATTAATTCAGAAAATCTTTAAATGAGATGAACGGGCCAAAAATAAAAACTTTAATTTAGCACTCAAGTGATGGAAAAATGGCCCATTCATGAATAAATTAATTTGAAGTCTTAAAAAAAAAAACTGGGAAATCTTAGAAGGTGAAATGTCTCTTGTATAATCCAGGTACCTGCATTTTTATTGAACTGGGGCCCTATTCACAGATGCATTCTGGGAAGGCAGCACGGTATCCTCAAGGGTTGGCTTGTATTTTAAGTCTCCCTAAGTTACTCATTGACACCCCGAGTGACCCAGCCTTACCCTCTCCTACCCCTACTCACTTCAATAACAGTGTTACATTTTATTGGCCACGCTCGTTTTTTCCACCCCCAGTTACTCGTTTTCTTTTCTTTCGCTTCTTGACTCCGTGCGGTTTAGTACATAGGCATACGCACTCAATAATTTTTGGGTTATTTCATATTTGCCTTGACAGTCTGTAAAAAGAAAGAAAGAAAAAAAAGATGAATGCTTATTTGACGTGAACAGGGTAAAAAAAAAAGGCAAAACACTTTCAAGGAAATCCTTTTTATAAGCTTCTGAGGAAGCAGAAGTGATTAGTAAGAAATACCTTTTAGAAAAAATAGAGGTTTAATTGTATCCAAAACCAATATCACATGTTTTTTAGGCAAACATAACTCATGATTATGACACAATGCAAAGGTCTGAATCAGACAGGGATAATTCACATAAGCACATGCTTCATTCAGATTTGTATTTAATAGGCTGCTTTTCCATAATATTTATGTCTGGGCAGTTGAGTTGACTGTCTTTATCCTTCCTGCACAGACCACAGAAGATGACAGCGCAGTCAAGCGTTTGTCAAGCCTCTCCTTGTCTGACAGGCCAGTGCGGAGACGTATGTCACCTGTGCTGGATGGAGTCTGGCTCTAGCGGAGAAGGTTCCTCCTCACTGTAGGGAACAATGAAATGGGGATCAAAATCTGCCGTGCTGAGCAAGTGAAGGGACCACATTGTATAAAATCTATCATCAGATGCAGAGAGTGTTTCTGGTCATCTTTACAGTACGACAATCCATCACTTTTTGATTTTTGATTTAGTCACTTCTGAACCAAGACATCAAAAGACATTCATCATCTTTAACAAGAAACTAGTTATCAGTCATACGTTTCGAATTTTTAATTATCACCAAATAATACTTGCCAAGTCCATTTAGTGGCTTGGCTGACTTCTTTTTACTGTGAGAGCTACTTTTACAAAGAAAATACTTTGACAAGCTACTAAATAGCGATGGTATATTTTCCGACTTGGGGGAGGTGGTTGTCCCCCTTGGTTTATCTAACCGATCGAGATCGGTCAGCTGGCCACCAGTGACAAATGCATTATCCATTAATCATCTCGCGACTGGCCTGGAGACAGGCTAGGATCGACTTTGATGGGTTGGACACCCCTGTTTATTGTGCTTCTTCAGCCTTCCTCTGCTTGTCTATACAGAATGCATTACGACTACTTAAGCATTTAATTAACCACCATTTTGTTTCGCTTTTAAATTTATCTAGATGTAAATACCTACCTTAAAAGTTATAATTCTTAGTAACATCCCTTTGGACTTCATAAAATAAATAAAAGATCATGGTGTGGAATTATAAATTTGGAAAACTATATATTTAAAAAGATTTTAAAACCAATCCAAGGCAATCCAAATGCATGTTCGTACAAAAAAAAGGTGCTTTACTGCTTCATAAAAACCAGAATTCCTACCCACTAGCTCTCACGAGTGGGATATTATACACAACCAGCTTGAAATAGTATCCAGTCCCTAATTACTCTGCAAGTGGAGAACACAGGTGTGCGAGACGTTCGCCATCGTCTCCTGAAGAATGCCGTATTTGTCCCGCGAGCCGACGAGGAAGCCCGCTCCCGCCTTTAAGCACCTCCAGTCTGTTTAGTCGTGCGAGGAAAATCTTTGCTCTGTGGAAATACATTCTCCCACATCAATCATTAAATGTAAGTGATAAATTATTCAACAGCCCACCACTGCTGGGATTCCCGTGGAGGAAAAGGTTGGCTCAGGATGGGGGTTGGAGATGGCAGGGGGGGGGGGGGGGGGGGGGCGGGGGGCACAGGGCAGCCCAGCAGGCCAGGCCGCTAACGGGCCAGCACGTGTGTGGTGTGGAGCAACACAACGCAGCCCCCCCCCCCCCCCCCCCCCCCCCCCCCCCCCCCCCCCCCCCCCC